CCCCAAAACCCCAAAACCCCAAAACCCCAAAACCCCTCAAATTTTGCGAGTAATTGAATTAATTTAAATTTGAATTTTAAATAAATGGAAGCAATACACCAACCTTTTATCAGCACAGATGATCATCAGGTAAGTCTTTATTTCTTGATAAGTTAAGTAATCAATTTTAAATCTTACACATTAGTAGACATAATTATTTTGGTACCTTTGTTCCTAGCTTTTTGTCCCACTAGATTCTTGAAATGCGAAATTTTTGGCCGCCAAATGAAAATGATAGTTCTAGCTAAAACTAAATCTAAATCAATCTAAAATTGCTTTGATAAAGACAGGGATAATTTATCCTTCACTGCTTTGCCTCTTTACTTTATATTCCCAAATTTTAGACTAAAATTTCTGAAAACTTGCCTTTTGATATTTTCTGAACAAATAATCTCAAAATTAAAATTTCCAAATTTTAAACCACACCCAATCCCTAACAATTTATCATAGACACATGAAGGAAACCTGAAGGCAGCCACTATAGAACACTCAGCAGAGATAAGAGGTACCATATGGTGTAACTATAGCTAAAGACTATATGGCCGTTCATGTTCTTTACCACCCAACTAACAGCAGGTAAACTTATACTCAACCCTTATTATCTCTTACAGAACCAATTTTGCTGTTTTCCCAATTTATACCCTCTAAATAATGCTAACCTCCTCGCCTCCTCTTCATTATGAGATTCTCAAGGATTTGAGCAATAAAATAGCAGTACAGTTCTTGTTATTGGCTATTAAATATTTTGATAGTTCAGCCTTTTTTGCAGTGGTTTTTATCATTAAGACTCTTATTTCTTCATGAAACATCAGAGGAGATAAATTTTGGTCTGGCTGAAGAAGAGATGTTATGAATGAAAGATATGGAATTATTTGGGGTTCTCTGGCTTGTGGTTTTGTATAGATATAAATAATATAGAAATTTTTGGGTTTCCAAAGCAGACAGATTATGTAGTGAATTGTGTCGAAAAGTTGAAATATGGGGAGTAAATTATATAAATGATGCAATATTCTGGAATTTTTTAAGAGCTGGTGAAGGGCAAACAGTTTTGAAGGGATAGTATAAAACTAATAAATTGGTGATGGTTAATAGTAATTGAAATTAGTATGGGAACTTAAGTTATTCGAGCGAGTTTGATTGTGTTTGAGCTCTGGAATCATTTCCTTCTTTTGAAATCGATATTCCCTAGTTATGTGATAATGCTGAGCTGATAGCATAAAATTTTTACTTAAGTTAACAAATTCTTTTAATTATGGGGATATCAATTAAGTTTTGTATTTCATTTGAGTATTGGAATTATCTTTTCACTGCAAGCTACATGTACTGAGATGTAAACTAAATCCCCTTGATTTTTCTAATAAAAACAAATGTGCATTAGGTGGAGAAAATTAATTTAATTATCTTAATAATATTTCTCTGGTGAAGATTCGGAAACAGATCCTAGAAATGGGATTATTTTTGACTTAAAAGAGGAGAGTGTGAATATGAAATTAAAATTTAATAAAATGATCTCTCAGAAATTCCTTTATAATATAAACCAATTCTCTTATTATTTTCAACATAAAACCAGTCCTCACTTTATTTTAGTCACCCATGCAGCTGTTCAAAAATCCATAAACCCAACCCAGATGTCCAAAACCAAAGATCTAAAACCCCACAGAACCCGCCAATCTGTCTACAATCAGTCCAGTAAGTCCCTTACAAACCACCTACCCAATCCCAACTCCTCCCTAACTCCCTCAACCCTCCAAGCCCTTCTCCAACTGTATTCTATCACAAAATCCCCTTGCCCCATTTCTGCCCGAAGGCTCAGTTTAAGAATTCGTGATGCAGGTAGTAACTAAAAGAGATTCCAGCAGAAGGACTTAGGGATTATGGCGGTGGTTTTTAAGATGAGGTGTTGGGAGAATTGGTATATTGGGATAGTGGGGTAGTTTTGAGGGTTTAGAGATTGGTTTAGTGATAATGGGAGGATTTTTGGGTGGTTGATCGTGGGTTCTTTAAGGTTTTATTGGGATGTGTAAGATTTGGTCCATAGGAAGGGTTGGGGGGAAATAATGGTTTTATGGTTGTACTTTATGTCCTGTGAATTATAAATTAGAAAAGATTGTTTGAAAGCAGGAATATAAATGATGGATGCTTGATTGAGCAATCCAATCTGAGTTTTAAGAGACTATATTTTCTTTAGAAGAAACATTTTCGATTGAGCATTGTTGGTTTTAGAGAGTTGAATTTTCGATAACACCTTTTATTCAAGTTTCTTAAAATGTTGAGAACTCGAATAATCCAAATTAGAAATCAAGCACACCTTTATTATCTTTTCTAAAGCAGCCATAAGCTCCAGAAACCATATCAACCTTTTTCGTTTTGTAAAATTTTTGCTTTAAGCCGAACTTTCAAACATGATCTATTGACTAGACCAGATGAATTTCTTGAAAATTTGCAAGAAATCATGTGAATTCCTTTTAAATACCAAACTTAGCAATTTACCAGTGGCTGGTCAATTTCTCGTTTATAATAAAACTAGCTTATATAATGATGCTATTTCACTTGCATTTTCTTGCTTCTAAACCTACTTTTGGGGCCTCTTTTCGGTAGGGTAGAAGCACATAGAGCTTTGTGGCTACACTTGGATCAATCCTGAGTTCCGATTGGGAAGAAAATTTAGGAGTAGGATAATAGGAGCTGACTTCTTTGATTTAGCAGATTTATTTGGTTGGGCAGATAGGATTGAAGGGGGTAGTGTTTTAGATATTTTATTGGGATTTTGAGGGGTTTTGTGATGGTGAGGTGGTGTTTAGAAGAGGTTTTGGTTTTGATTAGGATATAGAGAGTTGAGTATAAGATAAATTTCAAGAAACCTCTGTGTTTTAGTTATATTTGAAGTGTAGCAATTTAGGAGATTGATTGTTACTCTAATTTCATAATTCTTCAGATTAGTACTTCGCTTTGAGATTTGGTTAGAATAATATTGTAGGTATATAGATCTAAACTATTCTTTAGGTACCTACTGATGGATGATCAACTAACATTCGGAAATTTGCTTACTCAAAGTTGCAGATTAGCAGATTTAGACTCTTCCCAGAAGAGTTACCTAAGCATTTATAGTCATGCTACTCTAAGCCATATGATTCTTCCTAACGATGCTAAAGTTTTGAAATATAAAACTTTTTGAGAGGTTGTCGATAACGAAAAGGTTTTAAAACTTGTCATAAACACGTTCGATAATCCCTCATCCGAACCGAAAAGTTCAACCATGGAAGAGATTGATGAACCTCCCAAGATTTGAATCTCTGAGACTGTTGACAATACTAATTCTGTTGGAAGTATATGAGTGTTTAATATTTTAGGAATACAGCCAAAGTTCTTCAGAACTTCAGACGGTGTTGCTAAGAATCGTACATGTCAGAGAATTCTATCTCAGCCAGATCTGCATTCAAGTTTGGAATCTAGAAGCAGAGCCACTCCTAATAATAACCGATATAATCTCCGAGAAACTTCTGAAGATGATATTATCAACAAATTTTCAGAGGATGAAGGGGACTCTTTAAAGCAGACCCCAACAGAGCGGTATGAAAACACATTTTTGGAGTATTTATAAACTTTAGACAAGAGCAGGGCCTTGACCAGATTTTAGAAAACGATACTCTTTTCTCAAAGAAAAGGGATAGAAACTTGAAGAGAGATAACAATACCATTGACTATTTTAATGCAGGCACTCAGGTAATGCTCTAAGCTTTTATCCCAACGCAAATAAGGTTCTCACAAATTAATATATTTTTGTAAAACCAAGAGTTTGTGGCTTTGAATTAATGAGGATTCGATTGATCAATTCAAATATTAAAAACAAGAAATTAATAAAGACTTACTGGATTCTAGAATAAATGTTTCCAATGAGATTAGTCTTCCCACTACCATTAATTATTCCAAGCTCTTGCCTAATTTTGATACTCGAGATTTATGTTCCTCCAGTATTGATATAAATGGCTTATTGACTCTTTAGAATGAAATAGAAGAGAAACTAAAAACAAGGTCTTACAACGGAACTCACAAAAGACACGAAACCGTCAACTTCGGAACAGTAATTTTACATTAAAATATTAGGAGGCAAATTTCCTAACGGAAGATGGGTTTGAAAATCACCTTGCGCATTCAAGAAGGCTAATTCCTAAAAAGTCAAAAGTCAAGAAGAATTCATCAACTATTGGGCTTAATAAGAATATATTAAAAGCTAAACTAATCACAACAAGCTCTTTTGAAAATTTTAACGATCCTGTTAAATTATGAACTGAACACAGAAAACCAAGGGGAGCTTACTGCTCTAGCAAAATAGGTTTTGAAGAAGACAGGAGAGTCAGTGATCAAGTCCGGATTCCTTCGAGATTTAAAGAAAATCTTCTTCATGACGATCCACATTTCCCAGGAAGTGCCTCTAATCAGAATTGATATAAGAATAAATTAATTAAGAAGAAATCTAAAACTAATAGTTTGAACTATTCAGCTAAGAATGGAACAAAGGCTGCATCCAGTAAACATTCGAGGGTAAACTCAAGATCTAACATAAACCTTGGGAATGATATGAAGACAAGCAATCAATTAGCGAAGAGCTCAGCAAGATCTAGGAAACCAAAGCAGAACAGTAGGAAAGAGAAAAAATCTAGCAAGAATAGTTCTAAAGGAGGTATTTCTGTATTTTGTTATTGTTTAGGATATGTCAAAGGAAAGACATCAGAATTCTCCCTTACTGAACACAATCCTCATCTTCATAAGTACATCACAAAGGAAGACCAGTGTTTAAATATGAGAAGTCTCAGTAATGACAAAGAGAATATTTGTCACAATGAGCAATCTTCAAATAGATTCTCAGATAGACTACTCAAAGATGAAATTTTCGATAGTAAAGACGACAGCATTAGCGGAATGAATGAACTCAATCTACTGCAAGAGCTCACCAATTTTACTAACATGAAGATGATCAACAAGAAGAAACAGCACTGTATCCACTTTGATAGAATCATTAAGTAAAAATTCTGGCATATTCAATTAATCCCCAACGCACAGGGGTTTTGGGGTTTTGGGGTTTTGGGGTTTTGGGGTTTTGGGGTTTTGGGG